CACAGCTACAAAGAAGAGCAGTGTCTCCCTGTGTGGGTGCCGCTGCTTATCTTTAACACATATTAAAGATAAGCAGCGGCATGCACACAGGGAGCCTGCACAGAATAATACATGAACGGGGCTGAAAGCAAGAAGTAGCCACTGCAGCACATGTAGACATATAGCAGGTATCCCTGTGATTAAAAAAAAATAATTTAAATTGTAGATTTTAAAAATTCTAAATCAAATCAACGACTGTATATTAACACAGATTTTAAACATAACTGACAAAATCAGCAAGGGGATTCTGGTATATCGGAACTGATTGAAGCGCAGCAATGACAATTAAGAAAGCTGGTGTTTTTAAATTTTGAATTACATGCAGTGTGACAGCTATGTAAGCGAGATATACCTGATGATGGCCAGTTATGGCCAAAACATGTAGTGTAAAAGAAGAAACACAAAGAGCTGCAATAAACTGTTGCATTTATGACGGTGTTTATATTATACATATAAAAATGGATACCCTAGTCCTCCAGGCTGGGGTTGGGCATGGGGTTGGCAACCCCACCCGATAAAGACCCCTTGAGTTGAGAATCTTTTAACAATTGCAGCTGGATGGAAACACCTAAAATTACCTAGCAAAATCAAGGACTTACAAGCGAGAACCTCGAATTTCCTGGCCATCTACAGAAGTGGGGAAGTAACAACAATACAGCACTGAACTGTTAGCTCTACAAGAAGTTAGAAGGCTAGGGAAGAGTATATGGTTGGGACATCTCTTTAGAATGCAGGAAGTTAACTCTATACAAAACCAGAGGGCACCTGACAAGTAGGAAAACCTGATATCAGGTGGCTGAATTCAGTTGAAGGTTTTAAGACAGTGGGAGTCAGACATTGGAGACAAAGTAGCGGGATTGGGACCAATGGCAAACAATCATAAAAGGCCAAAGTTCATCATGGACTGTAGCTCCCAAAGAAAAATATGTATTAAACTTGTTTGTATTATGCATACTATACATAAGAACCAAATATTAATACATTAATATTAGTCTTATTTACTCACTGACTTTTGCATTGACAGCCACAATAGTACCCCGCACGGGAAATAAAGCCAATATGCAAAAGGATTACTACCAATGCTTATGTGCAATCTCTCAAAGCACAATGATCTTAGTAACTTATACAACACATCAGGAGACAAGAAGAAAGTATGGACATTTTTTGGTCTGTAAGGCCAAGATCAATAATTTATATGGGGTTGTTAGAATTATAACTGTTTCGTTTGACACACCATAATTCCATACCTCTGATTTTGGCCGCGCCATAGCTCAAGCGATTAGTCACTGGCTTCCCACCGCGGCGGCCTGGGTTCGATCCCGGGTCTGGTCAAGTGGGATTTGTGGTGGACAAAGTGGCACTGGGGCAGGTTTTCTCCGAGTACTTTGGTTTCCCCTGCCAATCTTCATTCCACCAATTGCTCCACAATCACCCTCACCTATCATCTGGGGCTGGTACAATAGGCCAGAAGTGGCCGCAGTACAAGGTACAGTACCCCACTAGCATTAAAAAAATATGATTACCTGTGATTTTACAGTAGTTACTTTCTGCACAGTAGTAGACACAGTTCTAGCTTGCACTGTGGTTCCAGATGTTTGTACTGCTGCAGCTTTTGGTTTTGGTGGATGTCCAGCAGCTTTTGGTTTTGGTGGATGTCCAGCAGCTTTCATTGCTGGTGGAACTTTTGCAACATTTGTAGGCTTACTGGCAGCTGGAGGCTTTGGAGTGTGAGTAGCTTTTGCTGTACATGCAGGTTTAAAATTGGTTCTCTTCGTAGGTTTTGTAGGAGATGAAGCATTTTCAGCAGTTACAGTTTCTGTTATGGTTGTAGTAGTTTTTACTGTAACTGTAGATTTTTTTTTTGTCGAATCAGAATTCATTGTATATAAATGTAGTTATTATGATGTATCCTCCTTGCTTTAATTGCAGCTACTATGGACTTTGGCGTAATCTGTAATTTAGTTAAAAACACAACAAAATAACATGGTAATTATGGAAGTTGACAAATGAATGCTGAGTAGTGAACATGTACTTCTACTCCACACACATGAGAAGGAACTGGGGAGGGAAGGGGTACAGTTACACAATTTGTAATGGAATGGGAGGAGCTTCCTTGGTTGGTACAGTTCGCTTGCAGAGTACTGGTCACAGAGTTTATCTTTTATGGGAAGAGCTTCAAAGAGGTGAAGGAGCAAGGGAGAGAGGACAGCAGGAAGAGGAGGTGGTGGCAGCTGTGGTGCTGATCATGGAAATAAGATTAATAATCATAACAGAAAGCATTCTAAATCAAGGTGGAGTGGGGCAAGAGCAAGAATGGTCAGATGTTACAACTATGGCCACAAAAGCACGCTAGTAAAAGTAAGCTATCCCTGTACCAGGCCGTGAAGGTCCATAGGGTTGTGAGATGTTGAGGGTCCCACATTATCTAGACAATCGGCTCAAAGATGGTGGTAAGGTTGTCAGCCTTATGCGCTAGCCGCGCTTTACTCCCCAGGAAAATTATTTAATTAATTCCTGGTACTCATTTCTGTTAGAGGCTGAGCCGACCCCAGGGCCATTGTGAGGCTGGAAGGATTACGTTAATTGAAAAAATGCAATGACCTCATAGGGACTTGAACCCATGACCTTCCAGCTTGTAGCACAGTGCCTCAACCAACTATGTTCTGTTCATTAATACTGGAGTCGTCCTACTGACCAGTACAAGTATGCGAATTCATGACAGTGAGTGAAGTTACACCAGCTGTCACTCCAGCCTTCCACTTCTACTAACAGGGAAGGATGCACTGCTACAGGGATAACTATCGTTCATTTGCTGTAATTTGACCTTGTGAAATTTTCCAGATATCTCCCCTTTGCATATTAGGCCATTCTAATCAACCAAATTTAAATGATTATGTTTTATTAATCATTTCGCTTGTTTCTGTTGTACTCACTTGCCACTTGAATTTTTGCTACTGGGGGATGTGTGTAAGCATAACATACAGTTAACCTTAGAAGGCCAAGCACCTATTCCAGTAGGTAAAATGCTTTCAAACAGTATAACATGTAACTTTTGGCCAACTTATTCTATTTTCAAAGACAAACGTAGACTTATGAGATGAATGAATGTATAAGGGGTGAGCCTTCTTGGCCCTTGCACCAAGACCACAGTGATCTACTGTGCCTTCCCTTTTGATTATCCCCTCAGCAATCCTGCACTTCAAATGAAGCGCAGGATTTTGTACATGGGGACATTGAAATAGTCACTTTGTTCCATAAAATATTGACCCAAGTGAAGTAATCTTAAATAAGCTAAGGCCTCACATTCGCACAGGATATGTGAGGGACTAATATTTTTTTAAAATCTGATAAAAGTCTTAAGCTCATATAAATCCATTTTAGGCAGTTCTGCATGAGAAGTACAATTTAAAACAAAATGGGAAACCACAGCTATTACAAACTTAAGTGTGTCACAAGCAACACATAATTATTTCTGTTTATGTTCTCACTTTCCTTTAGAATTTTAACAGATGGCAAACTGCTGAACAGAAAGTTGTTTTGCTAAAGACCATGCAAGGCCATTTTCGACATTTTATAAGCTGCTTTCAAGTAGCTACAAGAGTTCAAAATGAAACTATCCAAATTTTACAGTGCACCTAACCCCTCTCTACCTTAACTGACTTTTAACTGATCAGTGTATCGCAAAAGATATAGCACTATTTCATTTTGTTGGTTCCATTAAAGTAATCAGCAGTTATATTCTGTTATTTTAACTGCAACCAATAGTTCTTTTTCAAATCACATATACGATACAGTTTGTCACAACAGTAATGTACTATAACCTTTTGTCTTCCTGTCTGTTGTCCAAAAACATAAAAAATAGAATATACAAAACTATAATTTTGCCTGTGGTTCTGTATGGGTGTGAAACTTGGTCTCTGACATTAAGGGAGGAACATAGACTGAGAGTGTTTGAGCAGAGGGTGTTGAGGAGAATATTTGGACCAAAGAGAGATGAAGTGACAGGAGGTTGGAGAAAACTGCATAATGAGGAGCTTCATAACTTGTACTCTTCTCCAAGTATAATTAGAATGATCAAGTCAAGGAGGATGAGGTGGGCAGGTCATGTAGCAGGAATGGGGGAGACGAGGAATGCATATAGGATATTGGTGGGAAAGCCAGAAGGAAAGAGACCACAGGGAAGACCAAGGTGTAGGTGGGTGGACAATATTAGAATGGATCTTAGAGAAACAGGATGGGATGGTATGGATTGGATAGATCTGGCTCAGGATAGGGACCAGTGGAGGGCTCTTGTGAACGCGGTAATGAACCTTCGGGTTCCAAAAAATGCTGGAAAATTCTTGAGTAGCTGCAGATTTGGCGGCTCCTCCAGAAGGGTTCAGCTCCATGAGTGAGTAAGTAAGTACATAAGCAATGTACTATAACTTCAAATTCCCATTTTCACCAAGCTGTTGCATGCTACAGTTAAGTACACAAACCCAAGCACAAATGTGACACTGAAGATTTTCTTGGCAGCAAAAATTCATTAAACTTCAGTTTAAAATGATTTTCACTGATCATCCAACCGTATTCAGGACAGGTAAGGCAAAAAAAAGGCAACATTGTCCCTGGGCTTAACTATTTATGCACTATGCCATGAAGGCATATGAGGGAATGGATGTATAGATCCACTCTCTCTTGACGTCGGCACTAGCTGGAGCTGAGCGGTCAGCTTCACGTCACTGCCACTCTACCCCCAGAGGAAATAGGCCCCAGTACCCATTGGATAGGAGGCTGGGTGGGCCCCAGAGCTGGTGTGGATGACGTGGAGAAAATTCTTCACCCTACTGGGACTCGAACTCCGTCCCCTTATTCATCCATCCTGCACGCAGTCGCTATACTGACTATGCTATCCTGGCTCCCGTATTCAGGGCGGGGGATTCCTGTTTTAAAATAATTGTAATTGATGGTATTATTTGATACATTTCCTTCCTTTTTCAACTTTTTCTTAATCTGGCAGCGGGTAAACATGACTGCCCCCCCCAACAGGCCTTGTAGCGCCCAAGATTATTACCGATGAACAAAAACAGATACACAGCTGGACTAGCAGCGAATTCTATCCAGCATGAATTGGTTTAAAGATCGGAATTCAATGACATGATATTCAGGTTCTTAAAACGATTAATATAAAATGTTTCAGCTCCCTGAATCAGGATTGTGCTCAATTACTGCATTTTTGTGATTGTTGGGCACATGCGATCCTGAACTTTGACTTCGCTCCATTTGCCCAACCCTCACAGGACTCCAACCACGCATTGCTCTTATATATTTTACATTTACATTTATTTTCAATTCATGGATCCAATCATCTCCCTGTAGGGCTGGATATAAAACATGTCACACATTTCAAAATCATGATGACTACACATCATATGTCCTTGGCCCAATAAAATATATAATCAGGCCTCATGCAGACAGCACAAGTTGTCAAGACAACAGACATATGGCGTGGAAAAACCACTGTCAAATTCGACCCTTAACAAAATCCCTCATATTTCCAACCATAACAACTTCATGATGCACAGTTGCGCACCTTGCCATTCCACACACATTGGCCAGCCTTATCATCAATAAGTTTCATTATAACATATTAAAATTCATAACAAACACAGACGGCACACATACTACCACACTTACAAGCAAGTCTCAACAACGTATAATACAAGCACACAGACCATTTATTTACTCTTAACATTTGATCCCACTGCATGCTCGACAAAATCGTCAATAGAGTAAAATGAGCTACTTTGCAAATAGTTTCGTGAAACAAACCTAAATTGATTTTTATCATTTTCTAAAGCTGAGAGATTTACACTACATCTGCACCTAAGAACGAAGATAGTTCTTTAGCTACAATAAAAACAGACCTCCATCTCGGTACTTCGAACATACAGTAATTGTAAGATTTGAGGTTTTCACGGCGGTGACTATGAAGAAAGCAGTCTTCTGGGATTTGATACCGTGTATATGTGGTGTTATCCGACGTTTCGGAGGAACGTATCGCCTCCATCTTCAGGGTAGAAGGAAAAATATAAGAAATCCGCAGGCAAAGAGACCGTAAGAACCTTTTACCGGAGGCGATACGTTCCTCCGAAACGTCGGTTATATATATATATACACGGTGTCAAATCCCAGAAAACTGCTTTCTTCATACTGTAATTGATTTCGGAATCTTTTACCTGAGGTATTTTCTCTCTTTCACGCACTACAAGCAAAGCACTAAATTGTAAACAACAGGCCTTCCGAAACAAATTTTCCCTTTGCAACGCAATGGCGTGGCAACTCCTAGAACTGCTGGATATTTGAACCAGTTCAGATATGTAGGTACACACACAGGTCCACAAACTTGACGAACTGAAGATCACCAGTTTATCCATTTTAAACACGTAAGAACTGCTTGAACGTGCTTGGACGTTCAAACCAGCGATTTAGAGCGATGCATAGGCCGCACCATAGATCAAGCGGTTTGTCGTTGGCCCATAGATGCCATAGATCAAGCGGTTAGTCGTTGGGTCGTTGGCTTCACACCGCGGCGGCCAGGGTTCGATGCCGAGTCTGATTAAGTGGGGTTTGCGGTGGACAGAGTGGCGCAGGGGCGGATTTTCTCCGAGTACTTCGGTTTCCCCTGCCAGTCTTCATTCCACCAAATTCTCCAACATCATAATCACCCAGGGGAGGCTACAATAGGCCAATCAGTTGCCGCCATGCCGAATGGACCCAGTTGGACTCCACCCCCCCACTAAGCGAATTAAAAAAAAATAGAGCAATGCGTTTCATTTTAATCGTTCGTTAAAAAAAACTGAATAACCAGTTAATTTGAAGCAAATATTTCGACAGATTGGTGTCTTACTGGTTTTTAAATTACTAAAGTTCTGGAACCTATTTAAATTAGGTCTTAAAACATCGTGAAGTATCTTACATTATAAAAAGATAAAGCTGTCCCAGTGCTTAATTAAGCACTACACCATGAGCGTGTATGGGCAAGCGGTTGTATAGATTCACGTTTTCTTGATCTTGGCATTAGTTGATGAGTGGTCAGCTTCACGGGCCGGCCGCTTTAACCCCAGCATCCACTGTACAGGAGGGTGGGTGAGCCCCAGAGCTGAACAACGTTCAGAAGAGAAAATTCTTGCCCCTACCAGGGCTCAAAACTCCGATTCCTCAGTTGTTCAGCCCATAGCCAGTCACTATACTCAATGTACTATCCCTCTGTACTTCTGTATTCTATCATACCTCTCATATTTCATTCTGCTTATGGGGTTCTGTGAATAAAAGGGGGGCATTGATAAAATAAGGGTTAAGTAACTGAATTTATGTGACCTCTTATTTTGACAGTTTCCTGAGCACTTTTTTGACACTGATTGGTACCAAAACTTTTATCCACTTCATAAATTTGCATACCTGCCACCCTTGTATCGTCGCTGGGAGGAATAAAAAGAACACAGTGTTGTTTAGACTACAGTTCACCCTCCATACAAGGTGGTATCAGAAAGTTCCTGGACTGTTATTGTTGTAACTGCTTCAGTGAAAGATGAGAGGGGAGGCAAAGATCACACTTCTGAAAGCCTATTGCATCAGTCTGCCACATTACACCCCACTGTGAACACACATTGTTCTTACATCTGTTCTTTTTTAATTTTGTTTCATTTTGTCTGTGATGGATGGCAAATCGAGCAATGTGTCTGCTTCAAGTTTTACATGAAGCTTGGTAAATCCGCTACAGAAACCCTTGAAATGCTTCGTGAGGCTTTTGGAGAACTTTCTGGTTTTTGAATGGCATTCGCATTTCAAGGCAGTCATGTGTCGGCTGAAGATGATGAACATTGAGGGTGAACCAGCAAAATGACAGAAAATGTTGAAAAAATTTGAGAACTCAGCCACGAAGATCATTACTGAACAATCCATGAGTTCACAGACACTTTTGGTATCAGTCATGGAGTTTTCCGGGAGATCTTAACAGAAAATATGAACATGTACCGCATTGCTCCTTCAACAAAACGCGCCCAAAAACACTTCCCTGAAAACTACAGATTTTGTGACTAACAACATGGTTATCATTCCCCATCCTCCCTACTTGCTGGACTTTGTCCCCCGTGATTTTGCTTTGTTTCCCAAATTGAAAATGAAACTGATGGGACGACATTTTGAAAAAGTGCCAGACATTCAAACAGAATTGCAAGCGGTACTCAACAGCATTAAGAAAACTGACTTCCATGGTGCTTTCGAAGCGTGAAAAAATGATGGTATCACTGCATATGTTCTCAAGAAGACTATTTTGAAGGAGATGGCAGCCATAATTAAGTTAAGCCAGCATTTTTTTTTACCTAGTCCAGGAACCTGCCAATAGCACTTCGTATGTTAGGTGCATATCCGAAAACTAATTAAAGTAATTATGAAAATATTAGGCTGGACATTGTCCATTATGTTAGGTATGTTTAAAATAAATGATTATTTAGAAGATGGATCTCTTGGGGTCACCAGAAAGAGCCAGTGTCAATTACCAGCCCCTTCTTGTAGACGCAACTGAAAAGGGTGCTCTGCAGACCTCTTCTTGCCACCTGCTTCATGCTGTTGTCTTGCTTTGCTTACCTTTTGACCCTCAAATCTAAGGTGATACCTTCCTTTCACTTTTCACCAGACTACATGGCCTTATATCCCAGAAGACAGAACTCATGATAACATGTCTCACTTTTGTGTGAGACCATAAAAAATTCTTCAAAATTCAATCATGTTAATCCACTAGGCATACCAGCAGTTTTCAACTTGAAAAAGTGACTAAACGCTTGAGCTATGGCGCCGCCTAATATTTGTGTTAGTCAAATATTTTTTCAGTAGGTGGTAGCACTTGCTAGTCATAACATGCAAAAAAAAAATGGCAAAGCTGTGGAGGTTGTCAATACCACAATAATGAAAATGGCTAGTTGTGAATTACTGCAAATGCAAGAGAAGTTATTACCACGAAGAAAAAATGGGACAATCAGGAGCTATACCGAAACATGGCGTTACTTCAGCTACATGACTTCTCATTTAATCTTTATGACAACAGGAACCTTACTTATTCAGCAATCACCATATTATGACAATTATAGCTATTTTTAATGTTACAGTTCAAATATCTTATTTTTGTATTTATAACTCAGATGCCTCCCACTGCAATACTGCTCTGCTGAAGCTACTATTTCCCCCGACATTTTATGAATATGCTCCAGCCAACTGCAGTACCTGTTCTTGGTTCTATGTAAGAATTAAACCCCTCGAGTCTTTTAACAAGTCAAATGTTTCAATCTGTACTTGAATTCTCAACAAATAACAGGTGTCCATCCCCTGTTCCCACAAAACATGCGAATTTTTGGTTAGAAGCCACATCAGCTGCAGTACCCTCAATCTATGTTCATCCCTTAATGTCAGAGACCAAGTTTTTCACCCATTCAAAACCACGGGCAAATTACAGTTTTGCATATTTTAATTTTTTGCTTTTAGACAAGAAGATGAAAGGTTCTGAACTGAATGTTAGCAATGCCAAACCTGCATTTAATCTGTTCTTAATTTCCTGGTGAATCAAATTTTGATTTGTTACTCTCATTCCCAAATATCCTTTACAAAGGATCTATTGGCTATCTTTGTGTTATGATTTTGTCCTTCTTTAGACAAATACTTAGTTGTCTCTGTATTTACCTCTAGACAAACCTCTTCAGTGTAGCTTCATAACATCCACTCTTTGCCATATTGTCGTATCCCGAGCTGAAGGTCTTGGGCCCTTGACCAGGCAGCTGGAATACTTGCCTACAGATGAGCCGAGCGGATGCTGATCTGCTCAGGTTGCCGTGGAGCGCTGGATAAGGCGTCGCTTAAGAGTGATATAGCTCAAAGAACAATCCTTGGTGGTTGGTAGATAAGACTATTTATTGAAGGTCCATGAATACAAGCTCCTTTGCCGAGACTTAAGAACACCCAAGGCAAGCGATCTGCGTAATAACGTAGACTTTCTGGATAAGTGTGAAAATGAAGAGTCCCCCCTCCGCTTTGTTTGAAGGAATATATATAGGCTTGTACATTGAAGCCTCCCCCTAAAATGATGTAGATAGCGTCCTTACGTATTCTTTGTCTCGGCATTACAAGAAACACTTGCATAAACTAAGCTAGACTAAGCTGGTCTGTGTCACTCACTCCCTATTAGGGTCGCCATACATATACAACTTCCCTTGGCTCCCTTTCGGATAAACACATAAATCTCTTTAACTAATTACTCTAAACTGTCAAAGATTTTTTACTATGTGGTTCGCAACCCTGGATACGACACCTCCCTTCCTCAGGGAGATTGGCTAATATGGTTCATTTTTTCTTTATTAGCCAATCTTCGAACCTATGGTTATTTACCTTTTTCCTACGGCTAACTTCTTACTGCTAGGCCTACTTGTTTTCGGGGTTACAACAATATTCATTGGGGTCAACTCAGTTGTGTCACCTTCTGATTCAGCTGCGTCCTTCACATTAGTAGCGAGGCTAAGAGTCATACCTCGTCGGTGAAGACTATCAGAGGATGCATGAACACTATTTATGATCCTAGGTAAAACACAATAGATCTACAGTTATCACCATCCGTGAACCATTTCAGGAATCTCGGCCAACATTTCCTGCAACATTTGCAACAGCAGCAACAACATAGCACACTTATGAGTAACCCTAATGCAACAGAACCAATAGTTGCTAGTATTGACAACCGTGATGTAGTTATTGAGTGTTTCATTTTCCACTCCTGATCTGCAATTAATCTTTCTACTTCCTTAATCTTATAGCTGGCCATTTCCAGTTCATCATTGTGAGTGAGTATGTTCTTTATTGGTGACTCCAGCTGTAATTCATTCAGATTAATTCTACTAAATGGTGCCTCACAACAGTCAAACTCCAATTGTAAAGGTGGAATAATATCCTTCTTTGTGCTGTTCACAGAGTGCGTGGTGAGGGATCTAATCATTATCTTATCACCATATCCCATACAATCTGCAAGAAACATCAATGTTCCATGTAAGATTTGAGGCTTTCACGGCGGTGACTATGAAGAATGCAGTCTTCTGGGATTTGGCACCGTGTATATGTGGTGTTAACCGACGTTTCGGAGGAACGTATCGCCCCCATCTTCAGGGTTGAAGAAAAAGTATAAGTAAATCTGCAAGCGACAACACCGTGAGACACGATAAAGCCACTTCCCTTTACCTCAATTTTGGAAGGTGCTTGATCTGGACATATAATGGTTATATGATCTGTTACGGGGGCCACGAAAATCCATGAATTATCTCTTAGTGGGGTCCAGAGCATCTCCCTCAATTCCAAAATTCTTTGTGCACAACTCTTTGGAATAGCTCTGACCGGCTGTAACAGCTGAGCCTCACAATCGCTGCTTGTGTGGCTGACTTGTAGGGGAAAACTCTGCTTGCACACCAATCTACTGTTACTCATCTTTTTACACATTCCCAAGTCATTCTGATGTAACCTTACATAAAATTGTTTCGTGGTGTCTAACATAATGTATTCTTTCTCTGGCTGTATGAAGGTAAATTTGTTAATTGTATCTTTAACCTTCATCGGAAATGGTATGACCTTATACACATCAAATATATAATGAGTTGCTAATGGTACCTTTACTACATATAAAAGGTTACTATCCACTATATATACTTCTATGCTTACAATATTAACTAATTGATACAGATAAGCTTCGCTCAGGGTAACGGGTACTTGCAAGTCGCGGGGAAATCCATCCTGACTGGATTTCAAAACTTCAAGCAAACGGCTTGGCGACAGTACCTGTGGTTGCATGATCCCCTGCTTCGCGTTCAAGCAAGATTGAATCAAAATGTCGTACTCATCCTTCACTTCTTCTAAGGCTCTCTGTATCTGAATAGCATGGTCGTTCAATGCCACTAACATGGCGGTGTACTCATACTTTTCCTTTATCAGACCGTTCTCCTTGTTAATGAACTCCTTGATCTCTGTTAATCCCCTTTTCAAAATTAATTCATTGTTGGAAACATCATTTAATGTTTTGTTAACAGATTTTAGGGTGGACTTAACAACTACCATCTGTTCCCGTGATAACTTTATTAAGTCAGCCTGCTCCCCTTCGAGTTGCGTAATTTTACTGTTGTAAAACTCTTCATTATCCGAGTCTAACACCCCGAAAAGCGAATGTGATACCTGTCCTATGAAATTGAATAGTCCTCTTTTGCGTCTAGGAATGACCTTCTCGGTCCTAGTGAGCTGGGAAACAAGGCTCCTCATTTCCTTCACGTTCCTTAGCTTTCTGTTAGCATCGTTAATAGTTGTCCTGCATTCTGTCAAATTTAGCCATAACGTGTCGTCATGCTTTCTGCAAAATTCTACAGTCTGTTCAATATATTTACTTACAGTATCAACATTGTCGCTGGCCTGCTTCAGATTTAAGTAAGTCACAATCTTCCATTCGCTGTTATATAATCTTGCATCTGCCTCGTGCTGATAGTAAAGCCCGGGTGAACTCTGAACCGGTTCAATGCGTACGTCGAGCGCTACGCCCTCTGCTACTCCGTTAGCAATTATCCCCAGGATTAACACCCACATCTGTAATCATGTGAAAAACAGTTTAGCCCTATTGGCGTGTATCTTGAGTTCTTTAGACCGTCTCGCGCGCAATACGAGGTTCGGCCCTTCTATCCTCAATATCTCATATGGCCCTACATAAGCTGCTTCTAGCTTCTTAGATCGGCCACGGCGAACACTTTCATCTCGTACTAAAACCATGCTGCCTACCTCAAACTTCGGTACATGTATCGCGCGGTCGTAATTCCTTTTATTGTTTAATTTAGCTGCCTCCAAATTTCCCCTTGCCATGGCATAGCTACTCTGCAGTCTAGCCTCTAGTTCCTTGACATAACTGTCATAGGCATAGTATGCACTTTTTGGTTCTCTTTGCAGAACCCCCGGCAGGTTTGGTAACCGGCCGTACAGTAGTTGAAATGGCATGTAATTTGTCGAACTTTGTGGCGTGGTGTTATGGGCGAAAGTGGCATATCTCACCCACTTATCCCAATTTCTTAAATCCTTGTCTACATAACTCCTAATATATTCCATCAAACTTCGATGAGTTCTTTCTAATGATCCTTGAGTCTGTGGCCTAAATGAAGTAGACTGAATTTTCTTTATGCCCAGTAACTTGCACATATTTTTGAAAGTTTCACTTAAGAAGTTCGCTCCGCAATCAGATAAAACTACCTGTGGTTGTCCGTATATTAACACGACGTTGTCTACAAACGCCTTGGCTACTTCCTCTGCTGTTTGTTCTTTCAGGGGTACAGCAATTAGAAATTTTGACAAGTCGTCTTGCACGGTTAAAATGTATCTGTTTCCTTCCTCACTCGGACTAATTGGACCTACTATATCCACTATGCACTTTTCAAAAACTACGGAGGGTGTGTCTGTGATGGTCAATGGCATTCGAGTGTGACATTGAGTCAGTTTGTTCTTTTGGCATTTTTCACATCTCTTAATGAAGGTTTCCACGTCAGTCTTCATCCCTTCCCAAGTAACATACTGTTTTAGCCGCTGGTATGTTCGATTCATTCCAATGTGTCCTCCTACGGGGGTTTCATGAAGCTCTTTCAAAATTTCTAGCTTCTCCCTATCAGTAAGCTTCGCCTGCTTTACCGTAACTTCCTCGGATTTTCCATCTGTTTCTGCATTTTCGTTTCCTGCACTAAGTGTTTCCGACCTCTCATTCCCTTTTTCTTCCCCCACGTCCTTGGCGGTTGCTGTATACATCCTACTCAGCCCGTCACTATTGCAGTTCTCTTTTCCCTTCTTGTAAACAATAGTGTAATCAAATTCTTCCAGTTTTAATTTCAATCTCATGATCCTAGAATTTGGGTCATTCATTTTAAATATCCAGGTCAGGGGTTTGTGGTCTGTGACAATAGTGAACTTCCTTCCCCAAATATACGGTCTGAATTGCCGGCATGCCCATACTATGGCTGTCAGCTCCCTCTCAATCGTCGAGTAGTTTTTCTCTGCTTTAGTTAAAACGCGACTAGCATAAGCTATGGGCAAATCCTTCCCAATTATGCCTTGACTTAATACACTTCCTATCCCATCTGCGCTTGCGTCACACGTTACAATGAACTCCCTTCCAAAATCAGGATACTGTAATAATGGCTGGTTGCATAATATGTTTTTTAGTGTTTCAAAAGCCTCCTCTTGGTCGTTTCCCCATACGTAAGGCGTATTCTTACATGTTAATTTGTGCAGCGGCTTCGCGATTGGGCTGAAATTTGGCACAAACCTCCTATAATAGCCTGCAAGGCCTAAAAATGCCTTGAGCTGCTTCGTGTTACTTGGAACTGGGAAATCTTTCACAGCGGTGATCTTCCCTTCGTCTGGCTTTACCCCCTCAGGCGTGATCTTGTGGCCCAGGTAACAAACTTCCTTTCTTAAAAATTCGCATTTGTCGGGTTGAAGACGTAAGGAATGGACTCTTAATTTATCGAAAATTTCTGTTAACCTCTCATTATGCTCCTGCAGGGTTGCCCCCCACGTTACTATGTCATCCAAATAAATCAGTGCCTTCGTTCCAATTAAACCACTTAGTACATTTGTCATTAGGCGTTGGAACGTGGCCGGAGCCGAGCAAATTCCCATCGGCATAGTGCAAAACTCAAAATGGCCGTTCGGTGTCGAAAACGCCGTCTTTGATCTATCCTGCTCTCTTAATGGGACTTGGTGGAACCCATTAGTTAGATCAAGGGTGGTATAGTACCTTGCCTTCCCTAAGGCGTCTAATATTTCGGTTAACAGTGGTGATGGATACGAATCTCCTACTGTGACTTCGTTGAGTCTCCTGAAATCTACGACTAACCTCCACTTCTGTTTCCCTGAAGCATCCTCCTTCTTCTTTACCAAAATAATGGGCGAATTCCATGGGCTAGTTGAGTGTCTGATTATTTTATCCTTTAGCATTTTATCTGTAATTTGGCTCAGTTCCCCTTTTAAGGCTTCTGGTATCCTGTAATTCCTACTGGCAATGCCTCTACACGGATCTATGCCTGGAGTCGGTATGGCGTGCTCTGCGGCTGTAGTGGTCGTTAGTTTGTCTCCCGACAAGTGAAATATGTCGTTATAGTCCTCACAAATTCTGACAATAGATCTCCTCTCTACGTCATTCAAGTGTCCTACTCTAATTCTCTCCCTTAGTTCGCGCAATCTGCCTTCTGTGCTAGGCAATTCCGCATTGCTAATAACAGTTATCTGTGCTGTCGCCTCTTGGTAGTCTTCTAGGCCTACTGTGGGTAAACTGATCCTCATCTCTCGGTCGTTCGTATTCAGAATGCTTGTAAGACAAGTCCCTTCACGGACCATGACTAACGTTTCCGCCACTATTACTCCGGGGACTAGTTCTTTCTTACTTATTAATCCCGTCGTTAATTCTGGCGACTCTGTCGGCAACCTCACTATTGTTTCACTTCTGGGTTTTAGTATGGTGTATACTGTATCTGCTTGTCCTTTTGCCTCCGTGTCTTCGTCGAATTTTACTCTTGCTTTCCCCATTATGACCTGTCTGTGGCTATAATCTATCTTGGCTTTTTGTTTTTCAAAGAAGTCCTTCCCCAGAATTCCATCGCACGGTATGTCTACCCCATCTCCCACTATCTGAAATGGGTGTTCTATTTCATGCCCTGCAACGCACAGCCTAATGTTAAGTTCTCCCAATGTTCTCTCTACCGAAACTGATATGCCCTTCACATTTAGAATTTTCCTCGAGTTATATAAAATGCCCTCTTTAATACTACTGTACTTGCACAGGTAAAGCTCTGCACCTGTATCGATCAATAATTTCATGTTTCCCTTAACTCCTGCGTCTGTTTCCAAAGTAATGGTGCTTAATGGAGAACCTGCTGTCTTTGTACAGCCTAACATTACTGTTGCTGGGTCCCAGAAGGGCTGCTCCTCTGTTCCCATCTTCAGTTTTCCGAATTATTCTGCCTTCCCGTGTTGCCGTGCCTCTTCCTACACATGCGCTTAATGTGCCCCCTCACCCCGCATGCATAGCAAATAATTCCTGCATCTGTAGCCTTCGTAACTACATGCGTACTAATTCCCGTACCCTTCCGTACGTCGGCGCCTGTTCCGCGTCCGGGACGCGCCATTCCTCTGTTTAAATCTCGGTTTGCAAACCCGAATCCTCTACCGGATTCTTTATCCATCCTTCCATAATTACCTGTTNAAGGCCGCTTCCCTCAACTCTGACTGCATTGTATCTATTCGGCTACTCCACCCTGCTATCGATTCATGATTACCTTGCCTACTACTGAACATACGGCAAGCATAGTAATCCAGCGTTCTTTTCACGCCGTAATTTTCTTCCAATATTTGCTTAACTTCCCGCCAGGTGGAAGAAAGGTCCCTAACTAATAGTTTGCTCCTAGCATCTCCTGTAATCTTGGTTTTCACAAATTTCAACAGTAAGTTATGTTGGTCCGGCCTAACGAGTTCGAAGGCGGTACTTACGTTATCAATAAATTCTTTCAGTTTTCTCCGATCACCGTCGAAAGGTACGCTTATCAGTTTCATTGCCTCTGAAATACTGCAATACTGCTCTACACTGCTTTCTGCCATTTCCCCTGAATCTAATTGACTCATGCTGATCAGATATAGTAGCTGCTTAGTACGTGTCGCGATCACTGTATTTCTTTCTAAACACACACACAAGCTATATTCACACTATTCTAGGAAACAATGGGCGTATGCAACCACTAGTGAAAATTATGCAATCTGAGCGTAGCTTACCTTAAAATGCGACGCGCAGCGGGCTGTCGGACGACAGGGGGTTCCCGCGTGCCGGTTGATGGTGAAACGGTTGTGGTCCGGTCTCCTGGGGTTCCTCGGTTCGGCTCTCGTGACAGCTGCGGGATCCACCTCAGCTTTACCTGGACAGCAGAGCCTGCAGTAGCGGTACCTGCTGTGGATGTCTTCAATTATCGGCAGCCCTTGAAGAACCGACTCGTGCCATGCTCCGGAGGTCGTCTATCTTCAAGCGATAATGTCGGATGATCACAGAGGTCTTGGTTTATCTTACTGATCGGGCACAAGGAGGGCTGCGGTCGGAGCTGAAGTAACCCGTCTCATACAGTCACCAAGAGTTGACGTCTACTCCCCGGTGATGGTGAGAGTTATACAACCGTAGCCTGCTGCGGACTGGAACCGCTCCTTGGTCCTTCGTGATCAAACGGGCTCACTGACGATGCCCGGAAGATACTGTAGCGATGCTTATCGGGGTTGGCCTTCCCCAACAGGATCGTAGATGTGATGGTAGTTGATCTTGCCGGTATTCTGTAGGTGAAGATCGACTGCGACGCTTGTACACACACAATACCCACCCCACACCTGACATCAGTTTTTATGTCGTATCCTGAGCTGAAGGTCTTGGGCCCTTGACCAGGCAGCTGGAATACTTGCCTACAGATGAGCCGAGCGGATGCTGATCTGCTCAGGTTGCCGTGGAGCGCTGGATAAGGCGTCGCTTAAGAGTGATATAGCTCAAAGAACAATCCTCGGTGGTTGGTAGATAAGACTATTTATTGAAGGTCCATGAATACAAACTCCTTTGCCGAGACTTAGGAACACCCAAGGCAAGCGATCTGCGTAATAACGTAGACTTTCTGGATAAGTGTGAAAATGAAGAGTCCCCCCTCCACTTTGTTTGGAGGAATATATATAGGCTTGTACATTGAAGCCTCCCCCTAAAATGACGTAGATAGCGTCCTTACGTATTCTTTGTCTCGGCATTACAAGAAACACTTGCATAAACTAAGCTAGACTAAGCTGGTCTGTGTCACTCACTCCCTATTAGGGTCGCCATACATATACAACTTCCCTTGGCTCCCTTTCGGATAAACACATAAATCTCCTTAACTAATTACTCTAAACTGTCAGAGATTTTTTACTATGTGGTTCGCAACCCTGGATACGACAATATATAATTAAATCAATAAAGTCAAGGAGGATAAGATGGGCAGATTATGTAGCACGCGTAGCACCGAAATGGAATGCGTAGAGGGTTTTGGTTGGATTATAATATTAAAATGGATCTTAGAGAAACAGGATGGGGTGGCACGAACTGGATTATCTCACTCAGGATAGGGACCAGCAGCAGGCTATTACAAATACTGTAATAGCCTCTGGGCCAAATAAAATGTTGGGAACTTCATGAGCAAGTGAGGAACTGGTGGCTTTTCGAAAACAGTTCAACTCCAAGTAGTTACTTATATCACATTAGGAGTTATACAGCATAAAATGTGACTGGGAGATTCTAATGGGAGTTACGAATTTGGAAGAAAGCAGTCACAGACTCTTTCAGGGTACCATTCTGATATCTGCCTCAACAGACTGAGGAAAGTAAAAAAATGACTCAATCAGAACATCACCCTCATTCAATATGCCACAGGGAGAACTTACTATTTCAAAGCATGGACAGCTATACAGAAAGCATTAGCTGACTCTGACTCAACATCTCATCTTGCCTGCAAGATTTGAAGCAAAAATGGGACAATAAATATTATGTTTGTTGGGTGTAAATGATTGCTTGCTCCGTTCACCTAATCATGCGAAAAAATATATTTTTCTGGAATACAATGGCTAACAAAAGAACCATCTGATACATTTGGGCTCAAAACCAGTGTCATTCTTCAGAATTCCTGTTATGCAAAAAGTGAATTCTTCTGTAGATAAAAGAAACTATGAAATCTCATGGAATGAAAACTGAAATACTCAAGAGTCTGGTCCCATCTTCAAATTTCAAGGCCACTTTAACTCCATGATGCAGGACCTTCCTTCAAAAGATAAATACTTAGTTGGCCAAGAACATTTATCCCACAACTACATGCAACTGAGTTTCTTACACAGTGTCACAAAGCATATCATTTATT